ACCTGCAGGACCACCTAGGGGTGTTCGGACTTACCTGGACAGTCAGCCAGGGTTCTCTCCCTCTGCTGGGTACGAGTCTCAGCGCGGATGCAGTCAAGAGCTATGTGAAGGCGAGAGGAGGTGAGAGGTCGTTTTCGGCTGACGTAAACGAAGTATGGAAGGAGTAGAAAAGGGCGTCTTTTTACTATTCTTCAAATGTGTGTGTCTGTCTCTTCGTGAACATGTTTGTTTATTTAGTTATTTGTATTTTATATTTTTATGTACCTGTACTCAAGCACACACACATACACAAAACCATAACTTTTCCCTAAGCAATAGACGATATATCTCACACCCCCCCGGCCCCCCATCCAAGAACCACATCACAGGAACTCCAAACACCAAACATAAGTCTTCCTTCCGAATACCTTACAAAAAAAAAATAACCCATTCAGATGCACCAATCCTCTCCCCGGTCGTAGGTCCTTACGCAGCGCCCTTGGGGGACCACAGCAGCGCCTGGGTCAAGGTCACGGAAGGAGGCCATGAGGATCTCCCCGACGTGGAGGTCCGGCTCTCTCCTGCCGCCCAGCACCTCGACCTGGGGCTCTTCTCGCCGCACGTCTACAGGATGGATAAGCTGGTACTGAGGCTAGGAAGCTTTTTGTCTTTTTTGTGTGTTTTTTAATGTATTTTTTAATTATTATTTTTTTATCTGTTGTTATAAGTATATATTTTTATTGTTGTGTATTATTGTATTGCGCTGCTATTGTGTACTGCTGTATTGTGTATTATTCATTATTTTTGTGTTACTTGTTATGGTGAACAATATTTTGTTTGTTTGTTGAGCACTGTCATATAATAAAAAGAAGAAGAAGTAATTAATTAGGACTCTCTTCCCTTTCAGAAATATAAAAAATATTACATACCGCTCTTTGGTCGGGAAGGATTCACACTACTGCCTAACCTCCTGAGACCGAAAAGTCGGGGTTCGGTCACACTTCGGTCAAGAAACCCGGCGGACTTGCCTGTCATTGATCCAAATTACTTGAGTCACCCTGATGATCTTGCTACGTTGGTGGCGGGTTAGTGAAACAAACACAATTATCCTCAAAACACACACACGCACCAGCACGCACGCCCGCAGCACACACACATACACACACACACACATACACACACACACACACACACACACACACACACACACACACACACACACACACACACACACACACACACACACACACACACACACACATATGCAAATACACACAAATACATACAAATACATACATACATATATACTTATCTATATCTAGATCAATATCTTTATCTATATTTGTCTAACTATCCATCTATTTATACACCTGTCTACACATATAGTCTTACGATTAGCCAAATGAGTATAACAAAAAAAAAAAAAAAAAAAACACA